TCTTGATTTCAGCTCAGGTCATGATCCCAAGGTCGTGGGATCAAACCCCGCATCAGGCTCCACACTGAGCGTGGAGCCTGCTTGGCATTCTCTCTCTCCCTCTCCCTGTCCCTCTCCCTCTGTCCCTCTCTCCTGCTCATGTGCTCTCTCTAAAATAAAATTTAAAAAAAAGAAAAAAAATAAATAGCTTCAAGGATCCAAGACAAAAGACCATTGCTTTCATGTGCAACAAATTTTTAATTTACAAAATTTTGAAAGGATAATACATGCATATGGTACAAAATTCAAAGCGACAAAGGGGGGGGGCACATAAGGAAAGAAAACTGTCTTTCCTTTGTCTTTCTGCTGTCTAGTGCCCTCCCCAGAGGTATCACTGTTTCTTATGTGTGTTTCCAGAGATACTCTCTCTCTGTCTCTATGTGAGGATATTTGTCTATGTAAATATCTCAGTCATGTAGTAGTTCATTAAAAATCACTTGTATTTATGTCCCTAATTTATTTGTATAAAATAATAACTATGTCTTGACTATGATGACTAATTTAAGACTAAGGAAGAGTAAAGTGAAATCTTGATTTAAATCAGAAGTACGTCTTTCTAGAGGTTTTTTTTTTTAATTTTTTTTTCAACGTTTATTTATTTTTTTGGGACAGAGAGAGACAGAGCATGAACGGGGGAGGGGCAGAGAGAGAGGGAGACACAGAATCGGAAACAAGCTCCAGGCTCTGAGCCATCATCCCAGAGCCCGACGCGGGGCTCGAACTCACGGACCGCGAGATCGTGACCTGGCTGAAGTCGGACGCTTAACCGACTGCGCCACCCAGGCGCCCCTCTAGAGGTTTTTTTAGTGGAAAAAGGATCTAGATAGTTTCAAGTTAAATGTATAAATTCATTTAAATGTAGGAGAGGAGGTATATATGTTGACATTAATGCATGAATAATTACCAAACAAAATGAAAATCTAAACCAACAAAAAAATATAGTCAAGCATTTTAGAAATCCCAGAAAATGAATAGAACAAAAAAATATAAAGTTTATTACTATATCACTCTTTCATTTCCTTTAAGGAATGACCTGGAATCTGTGCGAGAAGAACTAAAGCAGAAAGGAGATGAAGTTAAATGTAAATTGGACAAGAGCGAAGAAAATGTATGTTATATTGAATAATAAATTGTAGAATAGAATTTCAAATCATAAAATCACCACGTGTGTAAAAAAAATAAAGTGAAATATTCTAGTGTATAAATAGTGATATAGGGACTATTGTAGGCTGCTGACCTTAAAAATACAGGCAAAGCTGAGTTATTTTGCTTACAGGATTTATGAGTAACAGAAATAGTGGTATAATTCTAAATTTCTTTCATAAATCCTCAACATTTAATGTTGATATACATTTTTAGGCTAAAGAGGCTCAAGAAAAAATTTGTCAGTAAATAACATACCGATAAAATTGGTAAGTTTGTGTTGTGCTTTGGTGGGTATGATGTCAATGTATAGAGATAGGAAGAAGGTTTTCCGGGAAGAATATCACAAAAGTGGAATTGTACAAAGTATGTGATTCCACCATGTTCTAGGCACTGTTCTGGGTATCAAGCTTGGACTTCATTTGTTCTGGTGGATAATGTGTGATCCAATTAAAGTGTTTTTTTTTTTTTTTAATGCTTATATATTTTTGAGAGAGAGAGAGAGCAAGTGAGAGCATGGGGGGAGGGGGCAGAGAGTGAGAGTGAGGGTTGGGGGGCACAGAATCTGAAGCAGGCTCCAGGCTCTGAGCTGTCAGCACAGAGCCCAAGGTGGGGCTCGAACTCACGAATCACTAGATCATGACCTGAGCGGAAGTCAGATGCTTAGCTGACTGAGTCACCCAGGTGCCCCCAATTAAGATTTGTTATTAGGGAAGTGATATTTTTAATCTTTAAGAATGGAATGAGGAGATATGAAAGGTGCTGGAGTCAGTTGGAAGGCTTTAAAAAAGTGTCCTGAAAGCTCTGGAAAAAAAATCTTGGAAAGGACTTTGGCCTAGTTTAGTTTACTTACTTATACCTGAATTAATTATTGTGGGTAAAGGGTAGAGTAATTTGGCAAAGCCTGAGGTACTTACCCACCTACTCCTGGAGACAGATTAGCTTCGATCAAACAACATGGATTTAGCAGGATTATCATGGAATTTACACTAACAGAGTTTTCTCAGGAAAGAATGGTGGCCAGACCAAAACATAGGTCTTCTATATAGATGCTGTTGGAGCCTGTACAGGGCATCTAATCAGGATACGTTTCCTGGAAGAAGTGACATTCAATTTGAAACCTTAGATTAATAGGAATTAGTGGAAGTCAGAGAGGTGGACGTAAATATATCAGGGAAAAGAGTGTTATAATTTACAAGTATACACACACTGTATACAGACCATGAGAGAGTCTTTTGTATTTAAACAATTATGAAAAGTTCATCTTGGTTGAAAGGTAGAGTTCAAGATTGTGGTAATAGTGTAGAGAGTAGGGAAAGATGAGAGTGGAGAGATGAGGATAGGGAAAATGAAACTTGGGAGAGATGAGGGCAGATTATGTAAAGTCACATAAACTATATTTAGGAATTTGAGGTTATTGAAGAGTTTTGACCTGAGGAATGTCATGTTTACTTTCAGAAAGTTGTCAGACCATCTCAACTAAGGATGAGATGAGCTAATATTTTGAAGGGCTTACAGTGTACCAGGAACATTCTAGTTCTCTATATATGTTATCTTAGTTAACTGGAACTTACTTTTGTCCTCTTTTTATGAATTAAGAAATCAAGCCTCTGAGAGCACCTGGGTGGCTCAGTCTCGTTATGCGTCTGATTCTTGACTTCGGCTCAGGTCATGATCTCACAGTTTGTGAGACTAAGCCCTGCATCAGGCTCTGGCTGGTAGCACAGAGCCTGCTTGGGATTGTCTGCCTCTTTGTTCATCTCTCCCTGCCCCCTCCCCCCAATAAATAAATAAACTTAAAAAAAAAAAAAAAGAAATTGAGACTCTGAATGTCATGAATAAGAAGTAGTAGTGGTAGTGCTGGACTTCTACCATTCTTTAGACTTTCCCATATTTTTTTCTTCCAAAAACGTATTTTTTACTTTCAGTTTCATATTTACTACGTTCAACCAGAAAAAAACAATTTAATCTTATCCTAAAGACTTGCTATGTAATTTACTGCTTTAAAATTTGCATCGGAGGCTGCTCAAGACCCCAGTCCTTTTGTTTGTGATGTGGTAAAACATGAATTTAGTGTTTAAAATAAAAATTCTCTACCAAGAATTTAAATTTATGTTATCAATGTACAAGATATTAGTGATGAGTTAAGGGAAAAAACCCAAAATGCAAAACAAGTTGTTAGAATATTTAAGCTTTTTCCGTGGTTGGATTTCTATTTACCTATTGAAACAGCTTCTCAGAAAGATTCCAGTTTGTAAGTAGTTCTCAGATATTTGCCTGGCATTGATATTCATTACACTTTCCCCCCCAATCTGCTACCTTAGTTTAGACATTTATATTGTTTCATGCATGCTTTATCTGAGCCTATTTTCTCATCTCTAAAATGGAGATGATAATACCTGACCTGTCTTTATCATTGGGTTGTTACAAGGTTCATATCTAACAAATGTTTGTGAAAGACATATTTAAAAAATTATAAACATTTGTATGCAAGACAACTGTTAAAAATCCAGGGTAGCGGGTACCTAGGTGGCTCAGTTGGTTAAGTGTCTGACTCTCGATTTCCGCTCGGGTCATGATCTCATTCATTGTTTGTGAGATTGAGGCTTGCGTTGGTGCTGATGGCACAGAGCCTGCTTGGGATTCTTTCTCCCTCTCTATCTGCCCCTTTCCCACTTGTATGTGTGCATACGCACACACATGCACTCTCTCTCCCTCAAAATAAATAAATAAACTTTTTTTTTAAATTTCAGGGTAAACTGGGAAGTTAATAAAATATAAAGTGATTATTGGGCCAAGATAAGAATGATGAACATTAAAGACAGTTTCTTTTTAAAAAAAAAAAAGAATACTGAAATAAACTGGGAGAATGGATATTTTTGTAGAAATATAAGACTAAGTTTTATAATTCCATTTCTATAAGATTCTCATAGAAGAAAATTCTGTTAGCATTTTTAATCTGATGTCATATAATGTTTTTTAGGCTCGCAGCATTGAATGTGAAGTTTTAAAAAAAGATAAACAAATGAAGATATTAGAGAACAAGGTATTATCAAATCGCAAAAAATGTTTTTGAGAAAGGAGACTTTGTAACAATATATGTATGACTAGATTCTTTAGGAGGAGTCTTTACACTGTCTTGTAGAAAGAGATCTCAATTCTCCACTGAAGGCTTTAAGGAATAAGTTTGGATTTTTACTGCAGGTTTCTTTGAAGAGGCCATTAGTTCAGGAGTTTTGTACAGTGCTTCATACAGCAGTTTCATTAAACTCCTCTTTAGTTATCTCTTCCCTTTCCCCAGATTTCACACTCTCAGCAGCTGTATTTGTTGCAGATATCTTTAGAGCGGCAAGATGCTTTTAAACATTATTGTTAGACTTTGCTCTCATTCTTATAATCAAGGGAGCTACAGAAAATTTTCTTGTCTTTTTATGTGAAGTTATGAAGTGTTTTTACTGCCTGGCTGTCCATCCCAATTCACTCTTCCTTTCTCTATCCCTCACCACACACTTGTCCTAAACTTGACCTTCTTTATAGTTGAGTAGTCCTCTGGAAAAGTATAGTTCACTCTCTGAAGTTCTGACCTCTAATAAGCAACACTGTTTTCTTCTACCTAGAATTCTGGTGAATAAAATTCTTTGTTTCTATGCACATGAATTATTTTATTTAAAATTGAACTGTGATTTCAAAAACTTTGATAGTTTAAATACTTTTCAAGAATTTTTGGACATCCTACCAAATAAATTTATCTTCATTAGCCCTAAATTTGGAGATTATTTAAACTTAAAAGGAATGAAAACTTGTTATTTTAATTTTCATTAGCTTATTCAGAAAGAAGGGAGAGTGAGGTGGGGCAGTCAAAATGACTTCAAAGTTGATAGTTTTGATGCCACTATCATTTTAGTAAGGTATATAATTTTTGGATGGTAGTAATGCCAATAATAAAGAAGGGGTTTTTTTTAGGAATACCAGTATTTGAAGTCTTTTCAGGTCTGATTCTGCTTTTTGTTCTTTCTGCTGATTCTTTTGTGTTTTTTAATGATTCTTTGGAATTTCATCTATGGGATTTCTTTGAGGTTTGTATTGAAGTTGGGATCTTCCCCAAAAGATTTTCTTGGGAGCATTATTCACCAGGAACCATTTTAAATTAAATTCTCCATTTTTAAGTTTTTCCAAACAATAGAGATAGCATGAATTCAGCCTATAAACTCATATAAGGCCACCTCATGTCTACAAATTTCAGGGAAGATTTTGATACCTTTCACTTAAGTGTTAGCATCAAGACAGACAAGTTTTCTTACAGTACCCTTCTGTATGGCAGATTTATTTCTTGTTTACATTTTCATAGGGTAGGTAGTCTTTTGAGTTTATGGCTTTATGCGGGGTTGTGTTATTGAATTCTTTACCTTTAGTGAGCTCTAAGTTTTATCTATCTCCCTTACCCTAGGTAGTTTCAACATACATCCTTAGCTGGTTTTGGTGCTACCCCCAAACCTACTATTATCACTTTAAATTATAATTGCAAGTAAGCAGATTACCTGTTTTGTAGCCATTTACTTTTAAATTATCAGGAAGGTTGTTCAGAGTATCTAGGTGGCTTTTCTGTCGAAATTGGAAGTAAGGAAAAATTGTATACACAAATAGTTGTACCTGCTAATATGTTTATACCAGTAAAATTGCTGTGAAAATCACTTTTCTTTAACTTTTCTTCCGTGAAGTAGACGGTTTGGGGGTGGGGGATATTAAAAATGAGATAAATAAGTTACTTTAAACAACAGTGCCGTGTATTACTCAGCTTTAGAATAATAGCTAACTATGACTGCACGTGGGTTTTGCAGTAAAAATATTTAACAGAATAGTTTGTGCTAAGAGAGGTTAGTTCCGCCCCCCCTTTGGAGTTTCTATTTTGATGGAAATTAGGACAGTTTACAAAGTTGTAATGTCTTAGGACTGGTTAGAAATCTGTGCTACTTTTATGGTGCTCCAAATATTTCTTACCCTAATGCCTCCTGGTCCAATCATGCCTGTGTACTCAGGTGAAATAGTCTCTTAAAGTGAGATAAAAAAAAAAAAAAAAGTGGTTTAGATAAGAGGAATTAGAATGTAGCTAGAACATAGAGTATCACATTATTTCCCTTCCCCAAATATAACAAGTAAAAGAGACTCAGAAATGAGAAATGGGGAATAATGAGTGGGGAATAATGAAATGGGGAATAATGAGTAATAATGGGGAACAAATTACAGTTAATCTTATCTCTGGCTGTAGCTTTTGAAAATCCAATTAATATAATTCAGCCTTCTGTATAGAATTTACCAAGAGGCACATTTTCTTCATTACAATTTATACTTGATCACATAATTTTTGACATTAATGGAATTACTTAACCACATGATTTTTTTTTTTTTCAACGTTTTTATTCATTTTTGGGACAGAGAGAGACAGAGCATGAACGGGGGAGGGGCAGAGAGAGAGGGAGACACAGAATCGGAAACAGGCTCCAGGCTCTGAGCCATCAGCCCAGAGCCTGACGCGGGGCTCGAACTCACGGACCGCGAGATCGTGACCTGGCTGAAGTTGGACGCTTAACCGACTGCGCCACCCAGGCGCCCCAACCACATGATTTTTGAAATGACCTCTTTGTTACCTTATGCAATATTTTTGTTTAAAATTACTTATTTTGACTGGAATATTGAATAAAATAATTATAATTTCTCATAATTTGTAGTGTAACAATTTAAGGAAACAAGTTGAAAATAAAAGCAAGTGTATTGAAGAACTCCAGCAAGAGGTATGTACTGATTCTCAAAATCAAACTATTAAAGGAAAACTATTTTTTTCACTATACTTTTAGAGAATAATGCTTTTCTTTCCTTTGGTAATTTCAGTCTAAGTCAGTGGCAGTGCAAAATTGAATCACTGAATGTAATTCTGTATTTTTAATTTTTTACAGAACAAGGCCTTAAAAAAAAAGGGTACAGCAGAAAGCAAGCAACTGAATATTTATGAGATAAAGGTATTTGGACTCTTTGTTTTTAAAATACTAGTAAGTAGATGAGAACTTAGGAATTTTAAACTCTTGATATTGTAGCAGTTATTTTCAGAAATTATCTTTTGAGATTACAGGAATCCTTTTAGTTGTAATAGAGTACTTGTCTGTGATTTAGCTGAATTAAAATAATATAAGCAGCTTAAAATACATGAACGTGTGTGGTATATGTGTGTATTCATATTCCTTACCCATACCTCCACAATTGAGATTGAGTAGATTTTGGGGTGGAGCCTTGGAATCTACATTTTATTTTATTTTATTTTTTTTTAATTTAACTTTATTTTTTTATTTTTTTTCAATATATGAAATTTATTGTCAA